TCTGAAAAGCGGATGAATCTCAGGATGGGGCAATCGGCTTTGATAAAAGTATACAGCCTTGGAAACCCTGTGAGGAAATTCTACCCTGTCTTATAGGATCACTCTGAGTCAGGATCATACTGAAGACAGGCAGTGGGCTGGGGTATTTCATAGACCTTAGAGCAGGCACTACAAGTACCCCCCCCCCTCCGCTTCCCAATACCCACACACACTTTATAGAGGAGTAAAGGAAGGATGGAGGGATTTTAAAAATATTCATCCAAGTTTATTTTTGCTTTTGTTAAAAATTATCATGTCACTGAAACACACTACTGCTCAGTTTGTAGGTTGTACAACACCAAAATACCTTCAAAAGAGTTCTTATCTAATGATCCCTTAAAGGGCCATCATGAGATCTGCTTTAATCATTAATAATACTGTTATTATTCCTGGAGAAAAAAATTGCACACTGGGCTATCCAAATTGTCTATGAATCCACAGTCTTTTTGAAGCCCTCTTGTACAGCATACAGGGACAACATTCTGTAAACTTCTTAGCCTTAAATAAACACCTGAAGGGAAAGGAGTCACTGGGGCTTGGGGCTTAGGACCACAGTTTTGGGGACACATCAGTCCGTTCGCATAACATGGTTCATTGTATTTTGGTTTTGAAAGCCAGCGAGCAGCCATCTGAGATTCAACTGTCCAACTCTCCCCATCTGGAGCAAAGTAGAGTGAGGGAATCAAAGTCTTCAGGGAACAGGTAGCCTCAAAGACGAATGAGCGATCGATCCACCTGAGCCACAGCCCCCACTACCCAGAGACGAGACAGGCGAACTAGCTATTGCCAGCTACTTCTACTAATGCATCAGGACTACAGAAGGTTCTAGAAGAAAATGTAGAACCAAGTTTAAAAGCATGAAAAAGACCAGAATTGCTGGCCTTGTAGAGACTGGTGGAACTGCCAAGACGGGGGAGCAGTCCTTATACCCCCATGAAGACTGGGACTGAACCCACCCCTGGAGATCAGCTCTCAGTCAAACAGCAGGCCAATAAAGTGAGGAACATATTTCTCCAAACAAGTAACCCCGTGAGACCAGGAGCAGCACTTGTCCCCAAACAAGGCTCGGAAGGCAGGAAGGCTCAGGAATGGCCAGGAGGGATGGAGACAGGGGCCCAGGGAAGAAGGGGAAGAGGGGATCACAACTGATGTCATGAAACAAAAGCGTGTATCAATGTTTGGAGGCAGAACTCATAGGGTCGGTAAGCTCTCAGCCAAGCCATCATAAAAAAAATGTTTTGTGTCTGTGTCAATTTTCCTCCTTAATTCTTGGTATTTTCTCACGATTCCTTCGAAGGTGGTTATGCATTCTTACAAATGGGCTCGTGTGCATGCTTCTTTATAAACAGACACGTTTAAGAAACCTTTTTATTTTAACATTTTAAAAAATAGAAATAACCGGTTAATTTCACCTTTTCCTAAACATTAAAAACAAACAAACCCAAGTCCGTCCTGGGCCTCCGATGTTTCGGTGGTCAGCATTCCTGCCAATTAAGTCGTCCTTTCTGCATAGCTACCAAGAAAAAATAATCAGAAATCACTGAATGGTTAAGAACCATTCTTTATCCAACATGCGACATGTATTGCTGCGTAAGTTAAAAACCGATGGAGACAGTTTTGTTTGTGATTATTCTGAACTTCATGATGTGTGAGTGGATCTAAAACTGGGGTGTTTGACATGACGAAAGGTGGCTAGTCCAGATCTAGAATCGCACTTCATTTTGGATTAAACGACAGGTTGACCTAGAAGAAGGCCTCCTGTACAAACCAGTTCCAGTAGGGCTTTCGCTTTGGGGGGCGAGGAAGAGGGGGCTGTCAGCATTTCCCTCACAGGGGACCCCAGGTGCAGTGCTGCCTACCCTGCAGGGTTGCTATGCGTCAGCATCGACTCCGTGGCAGTACGTTTGATTTGCTTCTAGCCTTTGTGAGAAATGTATTGGCTACAACAATGTTTATCAAGGATGTTTATGCATTTTGTCCTAGGAAGACTACTTTCAGCCAACAGGTCCTAGGCCAGCAGTTCTCAACCTGTGGGTCGCGACCCCTTTGGGGGTTGAATGACCCTTTCACAGGAGTTGCCCGATTCATAACAGTCGCAACATGACAGTGATGGAGTAGCAACGAAAATACTGTTATGGTTGGGGGGTCACCACCACACAAGGACCTGTATGAAAGGGTCGCGGGATGAGGAAGGCTGAGAACCACTGGTCTTGGAGGAAAGGAAATAGAATCGAGAATGCCAAGGGAAGGTGAAGTCCTGCGGTTGTAACCAAGAGGGAGTCCACCTCGGTCAAGGAGGCCTTGGTTCTCATCCAGACTCCCTCAAATCGGAGTTCATTGTCACTCGCTCACTGAGAGCTTGGCTCCTGCTCTGCGACCGCGCTGTAAATCTACAAGCACAATAGAAGCACAGCTTGTTACGTCAGATTACAGGACGAGGCAAACTTGCAAGCGGACTCGATAGTTCTCCACCTAATGTCTGGTGCCACAGATCCCAGGCGGTTAACAAATAGACTTAGTGATGTTGAGAAAAATGTTTCAGAACGGTGAGCCCCACCCTGGTCACTTGTGCTGTCCCCCCTTCACATCTGCCGGCCCACAGCTCTTGTTTATTCCCCCTGATGCACTGGACGGCTAACCTCAGGGTCAGCAGTTTGAAACCACCGGTCAGTCACTCCGCAGGCTTGAAAGATGAGGCTCTCTGCTTCTGTCAAGATGGACCGTCTTAGAAACAGTCCTGTCTGTCCTATCATGTCATGAGAGGTCTGAAGCGACGTGAGGGCACCGAGGTTTTACGTCTGACTGTTTGTGTTTGAGTGACTGCTTCTGCTATTTGAAACCCTCTTCTGCCGGAGCTGGGCTCCGATGTGTCCATTTCCGGAAACTTTTCCACGGTCAACTCTTCTTGCTTTCACCTTTAACTGAGGGGCAGCGGTGCTGCCCCATAGCAAACACTTGGTTATTTTCAGAATAGGGCCTGGCTTATTCACCAGGTGATTTTAGCTATTCTTGGTTGGACAGCTTAGGGCTGGGGACAGGTACGTTGCAAGAGAAAGGAGTGTGACAATGGAAACATACGTCTGCTTTTCCCAAGGGTTGAGCCAATTTGCGAGGGAGGAGGGTTCAGAGGATTGGCCCAGGGCCCAGGGTGGTGGCTGCAAGCACACACCGGCAGCTCCCTTGCAGGAACACTAATTCTTTGTCAGGGTGGGGGTCTCCCTAAAGCTGTTGGGCTGGTGAAACCTTGACCCACTTCAGCCAGCTCTTCCCTTTCTGGACGCCAAGTTCGACACTGGCAATTCCTTCACCTCTGAACATCCCAAAGGGTTTCCAAGCCCCTTGAGAACCTGATTATGTGCAAATGTGTTTTCCGAGTGAACTGAGTCAGAGACTGGTGATGGTGAGGCTCCCTGAAGAGCTCCCAGCCATGATCTCTGAGGCCTCCGCTCTCCACGGCCCCCTCAGGAACGCCTCTCTGGGCGAAGCCACCTTTCCGCCCTGTGGGCTGGGAGAGCTTTCCTACATCCACCCTCGCTCATCAAACCAAATCCACCACCGTGGTGCCTGCTCCGACTTACAATGGGCTCCCAAGGTGGCCAAGCATTCACCTTTCACCCTTGGAGTGGCTGGTGGGTTTGAACCACCAACCGTCTCGTGGTGAGCAGCCCACTGCCCACTGTGCCATTCCAGAGCTGTCTCCTGCTCCTAAGAACGCGTTGTTCTCACCTGGGACTTGTCCTCCTTCCTTTGCTCTGTTCTGAGATGAAGGTTTCATTCGTGGCCTAGGAAAAGGCGGGAGGGCCCGATCGCGGGGTTAGGGTGACAACTGTCCGCTCTCCTCTGGGGAGACCATATCCAGGTTGGCATTCTCAGCTGACCTCCTGCCCAGAACTTTCCCCTCCACTCTAGGCGTGCCCACGTGTGAGGACCCCGTTTCCCTTCACAGGCTGACCGCAACAGAGAGCCAGGAGGGCCTGGAGCCGTCCCCGTGTGCTTAGGGACCCAGGAAGACAGCTCCTGAGCCCTCTGACGGAAAGGGCCTGAAATCTGCCTATTCTTAAAAACAGCTCCCATCTTCTCTAGAGTTCTGGCTCTGCTCATCCCCTCTGGGGAAAAGGGTCCAATACACCTGGGTCTGCTTTCCGGGATGGAACTGAGGATTGGAAGCCAGCAACTCACCAGGGAAATGGTGGAGCCCGGAGGCTGCCTGTGGCAGAAGCGCCTGCGTAACGCCTCTTGTACCTGCAGGAGACGCCGGGGCCAGGGTTAAGTCAGCCCAAGTCTAGCCTTGGGACAGTGCTAGCCAGGGGCGGTCAGGTGGGCAGACGTACCTTCTTGTCCATGAGGCAGCCGAACAGTAAGATGAAGACACCCTGAGAAGAGGGCATGGGGGACAGATGGTCCATGAAGGGGGCTACCCAAATCAACTCTTGGTCCCCTCTTCCTGCAACCTCTTTCCTCTGGTCTAACACGCAGCTCCGGGCTTCCTGTCTGTTGTTTTCTCTGAGTGCCATTTGGTGCATAGGACCCATTCCTAGTGTTTTTCTTGTCTTTTGCTTTTCCTCACCCAAGCGCTTTCTTTCTGTCTATCAATTTATTTATAATTTTCATTGAGAAATAATGCACATGAAATCCAATTTGTCAACATTCAGTGCACCCTACGAACATTTCCCCACCCTACCCCCACCCTTTTTTTGGCTGTGGGAGAAAGACAGGGCTCCCCCTGAGTGTGACCATTCCAGAAACTCACAGGGGCAGCTCTCCCCTGTCCTGCGGGGTCGCTGTGCACGTCACAGACCCAGTGGCACTGAGCTTGGTGCGTGGTTGGTTCCTTTGTCCACCCCCTGGTAGCTGGGGCTTTTCTTACTGCTTTGTTTGTTGGTTTGCACTGTTACGTGGCAGAGGGGCTATCAAGGAGTGGGGGCTGACAAGTCCCTGCCTTCTCTCTGCGATGGCGTCGTGACGAGCGTGGCCACCATCAGCCGCACCTGGTGTGCGTCCACGCCATCACTGCTCAGCTGGGTGAGCTGCGCAGGCTATGCACTCTCCCTGCACTTCAGTAGGGGAGCTAGGGAGCCCTGGTGGCATAGTGGGTTACACACTCGGCTGCTAGCCTCAAGGTCAGCAGTTCAAAACCACCAGGCTGTCCGTGGAAGAAAAAGGAGACTTCCTAATCCTGTCCAGAGTGACAGTCTCAGAAACCAACAGAGGGCAGTTCTGCCCTGTCCGGTTGGGCCAAATGAGTTGCAATCGACTAGATGGCCGTGGGTGTGGTTTGGGTGAAAACGGGGTTAAGGAGAGTTCCTAGTTCCCTGGTTGTCGTAAGGATGAAATGAGCCCAGGGCACGTGTGGAGAACATGAATGACACAGACGGGTATTACTCTCCTCGCTGCATCACCATCTATCTGCAATGAGCCTCGGATGAATTACTAATGATGTTCATGATCGGCATCATCTTGCTCACCCTTCCAATTCTATTAGAGATCGTTCTGTCTCATAAAGAGGGGAGGCAAAGGAGGAGAAATGAGCATGTTTCATCGAAAGGCCTGGCTTCCTCGTTGGGTAGAAAGTACTGGAACTCCAGAGACCATGGCCCTTGGTCATCCTTCCGGTCTGAAACAGAACTTGTTCCCAGGGCCCAACTTCCAGTCAAAGGACAGACGGGTCTATAAAGGGACCAGTAACCTGAGAGAGGGCCACATTCCTTAGAATAACCAACCATAGCTGAGATCACAGCGCAGCATTTACCCACGGACAAAGCTTAGAAGGACCTGGAGAGGAGAAATGGAAACCGGATACAGAGAGCGGAAGAAGTGATGTTATATTGAGGAGATTTCGATGAATGACAGGAAACAAGATGCGTATGAGTTATATGTCAACACCACTGTTGACATTAAAAAATAAATAAATAAAAGATTACCCTAGGGCACAAGAAAAGGAAGCAAGACAGAATCGTTGAGTGGGAAACTGATCCACCAACCTTCACCCAATTCACTAGAAAAAGTAAAAAAAAAAACCTACAAAACAGTAAACATGCTTCTGGCTCAAACTCGCCACAAAGCCAGAAGCCCAGAGAATGGTATTGGACCAAGGTGTCCCTAATTATAGCCTGGACTCCTGGTAGCCCCTTGTCCCTTGGTTTCTCCACTGAAGACATCTGCCTCAGGTATTTTGAAAGAAGAGGAACCAGACACTTGGGAATTCTTTCTGCTAAAAGCAAAGTGCCTTAAAAAGGCAGGCAACACCCAAGGAAGCTATAATGCCAGCGTGAGTCCCGCACTGGGGGAGATGAGAGAGGAGGAGGAGGAGGCCGTTGTTCCCAGCCTCCAGAAACGAGCCCTCCCTTGGGCAGTGTCTGCTGCCCCTGAAACACAGAGCCCCCTGGGAAAGAGGAGGGTGGGAGTCGGAAACAAGGACCCTGGTTGGGGCTAACCCAGAGCCAGGAGCCAGTATTGTCCCCATCTTTGATTCCTTTCAGATGCATTGATCTGAAACTTGGAACAAAACACGAAACCCCTCACTGCTGTTGAGTCAATTCCAATGCATACCCCCGGTGGCATAGTGGTTACATGTTGGGCCCTTAACCACAAGACCAGCAGTTCAAAACCACCAGCCAGTCCTCAGAAGAAAGATGGGGCTTGCTACCTTCATAAAGAGTGACTGGCCCAGAAATCACAGGGAGCAGTTCTACCCCGTCCTATAGGTCAAGAGGACATTTATCTGAGCGCCTTCTTCATTCCAAAGCAGGGACTTCAGAGATCACAAAAGTTTTGTGCTCACAAACCGGAGAGCAAGCCGGGAAGGTGTTTGTTGCCATCCCCATTTTATGGACAAGAAGACCAAAGCTCTGAGAGGCTACGTGCTTTGTCCTGAAATTTCCAGCTAGGTAGTGGAGGATCTAGGATCCAGACCTAAGCCTTCTAAAATTCTCAAGCCTCTAAGAATCACACTGAGCGTCTGGATGCTGCAAATGACGAAGCTCTCAGCAACTTGTCAGAGGCACACCCAAAGGCACCGCAGACCCCCAGACCTGCTGCCCAAAGGACATAGACCTGGACACCCCGTGGCCTCCTCTCAGCTCAGTGACAAACCCGAAACAACCACGTGTTTCTTCAGGCCCCACCATGAGATCCCCGTGGTACCACCTGCCAAGGACTCAGAAGACCTAAAGGACAGAAAGAACGGGCCCACCTGGTCCCTCACCTGGGCGGTGTTGAGAATCGTGAAGATGTAGTGGGGCGCATCGGACACTTCTTCGATCAGAGTGGCCAGGCTCAGCCCCCAGGTGAGGCCGAAGATGGGCGTGAGAATGAGCAGGGCTTTGATCACCCCTAGAAGGGCTTGGCGCTTCTCCACCTGCAGCCCCTCTGAGAGCGAAGGTCTCAACAACTTCAGCACAGCCATGACAAGCACCAGCCCGTTCACTCCCACGATGACCAGAACCGGCACGGCGAAGGTGTAGAGGACCCCTCCCTTCCCATCCAGCCAGCACGCCCCTTCCCTTAAGTATTTCCCCCGGGGTAGGTAGAGGACCAGGGCACCCCCTGCAAATCCCAGTGGGCACAGATAGCCTAGGGCCACCATCAGGGGGAGCACCCAGTGCTTGGACAGCTGGTGGAAGACAAAGAGCAGCTGGTGGGCCAGCATCAGGGCCTGCGCCAGCATCCAGAAGAAGGTGGCCAGGTAGAGGAAATGGCAGAGGAAGGCGGCGGCCAGGCAGAGTGGGCTCTGGGGCCCTGCAGGGAGGAATGGGGCTCCCAGGAAGCAGGTGTCTGCGGCCAGCAGGCAGAGCACCACGTTGAGCAGGGCTATGTGGCGGAAGTAGGCCACCTTGTTGCGGACCACGGCCCTCCACACCAGCCTGTACACACCCAGGCACACAAGCAGGGCCAGGATGGAGGCCCCCAGGCCCAGCTGGCTCAGCAGCTCCAGGGCCGGGCTGTCGGGAACCGTGTGGCGGGACATGAGGATGGAGAAGGCAGTCAGGTGCTGGCAGACACACTGAGCGGTGGGGCTGGCCCTGGCCACCCGTGCCTGGCACCCTTCGTCTGACCAGCCCCCCTCACCGTGGAAGAGCTCGGGGTCCCAGAAAACACAGTGGGGGATCCCACTTCTGTCCCCAAAGTCCATGATGACCTGTCCCTGGTTGATGGCCTGACCATCGGCCGTGATGGAGATGGAGAGGACCAGGCCGGGAGAGGCATAGACAGAGTCCCCCAGCCCCGGCCCATAGTTTGAAGGCAGGAGGCGGTCCAGTCTCTGCAGCACCAGGCTCGTAATACTAACGTTGGCTCTGTTGTGGTCCAGGGGGGCCAGCGAGCGCCTGGGGATCTGCGCCTGCAGTGGGGGCTGCGTGGAGAAGGAGACCCTGTAGTCCTCAGGGTCGGTGGGTCCAAGGAGCTGGCTCTGAAGCTGCATATTGGGCAAGATGAAGGAGGAGGGGTGATCCTTTGGGTGCAGGCTGCGCGCCAGGGTCTCCACTGCCCGTAAGAGAGCCGAGGCTGCCAAGGGCTCCTGGGCCTGAGTCGAGGTCCACAGAGAACTGTTGTCCATGGCGAGGACCTTGTCTGTGGCTGTCAGCAGTGCCTGTGGCACCCAACAGAGAGGTGCCCACAACCCTGAGTCAGGGCACCGGGAACTCCGGGCCCAGAAACACCTGCCCTTCCCAGCCCCATGCAGTGCCCAACACCGGAGAGAAAAAGGAGGGTGGAGGCGTGCCTGGGAAGGGGGGCTGGCCAGCCTGGCAGGGCGAGTGGACGCTGGCCAGCTGTCTTCCTGTTGTGGCTCAGAGCTCTCTCACCTTCAGGTCACTGTGGGCAAGATGGATTCTGCCCTCTGCCACCACCTCAGCCAGGATGGTCATGGTGCCCAGCAGGGCCAGTAAGTCCGAGGGTGACCTCACCCGTGCCGCCTGTTCTGGCAGCTGCCCCAGGAGATGGGGCACCTCCTCGGCAGGATAGCCCTGGCCCGCTGGCAGCAGCTGAACAGACAGGAAGCTGGGATGATGGGAGGGTACCTGCTCCTCCCTCCCTTCAGATGTCCTCCCACAATAGTCCATACCTGTCCCACCGGAGCAGAAAGCAGACAGGGGGCGAGCCAAGCAGAAGGCACTGACTGCACCTTAGTGGGCTGGACACTTAATGGGCCAGAGGTTTGAGGCTAGTCCTGGTGTGTGTGGGGAGTGGTCAGGCGGGGGTGAGGGCATGTAGTGCACTCTAGGGCTCTGCCTGGGTCAGTTCAGAGCCACTGGGGCTTCAGGCTGGGACCCAGGAGGGACGGGCCGCCCAGTTGGGAAATGTTTGAGTCCTAAGGGAGGAATGGGGAGGTTGGGGAGCGTGGCCTGTGGCCCACGATGCCAGAAATGTTACCCGGGCTCTATGCAGCAAGGCTAGCAGCCCGGCGTCCATGCAGCTGCTGTGAACGGGCCCCCAGGACCCGTCAGACTGGCACAACCTGGTCATCCTTCCAAGCCTGTGCTGGGGACATGGGGCCTGTGCCATGTAGCCAGCCTTGGTGACCTCCCAATCGACAACCAGGAACTCTGTGGAGCAAACGGTGTCACCATCTGGAGAGTGACAATGGGGAGCACTCAGCCTCCAGAGGGAGCCTCTCCTTGGGCAGAAGCCCCTGAGGGCTCCAGAGCCTGCCCTGTTGCTCAAGGCATGCTGCATGACCCCGCCCCCCGCCCGAGGGAGCACATGCTCCCAGGACAAGCCTGGAGCTCTCTGGCCTCCAGCTTCCCTGGCCAGGAGAAAGGGTGGCCAGTGAAACCCAGCACCCCACGTACCCTGGATGGTGGTGACGGAGACGGAGACCCTGAGAGGGGCCGTTTCTGGGCTCCGCAGCTCACACGTGTACGTGGTATTAGCTGCAGGGCAGTCCGGAGCAGCCAGCATGAGGCACTGGGAGCCTGAGGCCTGCAGTAAGGAGACTGGGGCGAGACCAGGGAGGGAGGGAGTGGTTCCAGGGCTGGAGCAGACCGGACTACCGTGCCGGATCTCCTAGCATTTAGGAGGGGTGAAGCATGGGGGTCAGCCAAGTGGTCCTTGGCATGGGGCTACTGTCTGCGGGCAGGACATGGACTCGGGTGCAGGGAGCCTGAGTTTCCTCCGGTGTCTCGAAGCTCCAGGACTTGAACCACAGTGTCCACATTTGTCCAACGGAGATGTCCTGACACTCGCCTCACAGGGGTTCAATGGGATGGCGTCGAGGAACGTCTTTTGAAAAACATTATCCAAACACAGCGCCACAGATTCGCCCTGGTGTTTCGATGGGGTAAGCGTTGGGCTGGTCACCTCAGGTCAGTGGTTCAAACCCACCCGTGGCTCCGAGGGACAAAAATTAGGCTGGGTGCTCCCCGAAAAATGTACTTCCTCAGAGAGCCTTTATCGAGTTGCTATGAGCAGGAATCAGCTCACTGGCTGAGCGGGGTGGGGGTTGGCTTTTCTAATGGGGTTAAAAAGAACCAAGAGTGCAATTGGACGTGGACCCAGAACACCCTGGTGGAACGGCAGGCTGTGTTCTTGAACGCAGAAGGCGGGCTGCCCTCCCCTCTCCTGGGGTTCCCGCCACATACCTGTGCTGCCCTCTCCTGGGCTCCAGGAGGCAGTGTAGGACAGGTGTGTGCTGGGGGTGCAGCAGCTCAGGCGCAAGCCAGCGGCAGTGGCACAGGAGATAGAGAGCTGGTCTGGAAGGCCCGCCACATCGGCCTCCTGCAAAGGCACCCTCACCTCCTGGTGCAGCTCCCACCGGAATCCCCGGGCCTCGAAGCAGCACATGTATTCGCCTGCAGACACACACCCAGCGCGGAGCC